TTCACACCAAGAAAGCAAGTCAGTAGACTTGCAGCAACAACATGTGCTCGCTGCAAAATGGCTGTAATCTCCCTTCCACAGTCTAGCTCTGGAGATAGAATCTCCCTTATAGCCGTCCTTAACCAGAAATATGCTAGAAAGGGAATTCTAGGAACTACAGTTCAACCTAGCCAAGTTATACATCACGAAGTCATTGCATATGCATGAAGGGAAATTGTAGGGTAGGCTTTGACAAAGACAATGGTAAACCAATTCCCTGACCTTAGATAATTCAGAACAAGATGAGGGAAATAAATATTAAAGAAGCCATAACAAGTGCAATGAATGTCAAAAAGAGGGCCATAAAGTCTGCTACAAAGACTTGCAACTAGGAGAATTAGGAGGTCAGCAGAGGAGTCATCACTGAAGAGATGACTTTTCCATTAAAACTTGAGAATTGATTAGTAATTAGCCACTGGGAAAAGAGATTGGAGTGAAAGGTGTGTGGGCATTTTCCAGGTATAGGAGATGTGAAAAGTTCAAAGACAAGAAGAGTATGGCTGAAAGCATAGTCTGAAAGGAAAATCAGACCTGAAAATTGGGTGAGTGACAACATTATATGAATATATACTGCAATTTCACTTCTGTATATATATCCAAAAGAATTGAAAGCAGAGTCTCAAAAAGGTGTTTGCACACCATGTTCATGTTCATAGCAGCCTCATTCACAATTGCCAAAAACTGCAATCAACCCAATTACCCATCAGTGGGTGAATGGGTAAACAAAATGTGGTATATACATACAATGGAATATTACTCTGCCTTAAAAAGGAATTCTGAAACATGTTACAACTTGGATAAACCTTGAAGACATTATGCTAAGTGAAATAGGCGAGATACAAAAGGGAAAATATTGTGTCATTCCCCTTATGAAGTACCTAGAGTAGGCAAATTCATAAAGATGGAAAACAGAAAAGTGATTGCCAAGGCATTGGAGGAGTAAGATTGAGTTAGTGTTTAATAAGTACAGAGTTTTAGTTGGGAACAGTGAAAAAGTTTTGGAGATATATGATGCTGAAAATTGTAGAACAATGTAAATATACTTAATGACACAGAACTGCATACTTTGGCTAAAATGGTGCATTTTATTTTATATATTTTTACAATAAAAAAATTTTAAGATGTGTGTCCTTAATGGCGCTTGCTTCAAAAATAAATTAAAAATTATTAGTATGTGCTATTTTCTATATCTTTAATGTACAGAGGGAAAAATAGTTTTCTAAGTTAATTTGTCATTCATAACAATTGAAATAAACACATGGAGATTTGTCACATTACAACTAGCTAGGAGGAATAAGTTCTAGTGTTCTGTAACATTACAGGGTGACTATAGTTAATAATTTATTGTATATTTTCAAATAACTAGAAGATTTTGAATGTTCAACACAAAAAACTAAAAGTTTGAAGTGCTGGATAAGCTAATTACTCTGATTTGATCATTACACATTGTATACATGAATGGAAATATACCTCATAAATATGCACGATTATTTGTCAAATATAAAATTTTTAAAGAAATTACATCAGATGGAATTAAACAAGCAAAGCCTTCACACAAGACTATGGCGAGAGAATGAACACAACTCTGCTGAAACTAAAAGCAGGCGAACTTTCTAAGCACTGGGATTAACTAGTGGAAGAAAACTGCAGGATGTCAGCAGGGAAGTTGGTCAATTTTATTAGGCCATATGTATTTGCTAATTTTTTATTGTGGAAGTTAGGCTCCTACCCTCCCCACAGAAACTGGGAAGATGGAGTATACTTGTTAAGTACATTTGATGTTGATGAGTACATTTCAGAGGGATGGCTCCCAATTTGATGAGTATGTTTCAGAGGGATGATTCCCAAGTTCTTTAGAAACACACTCCTGCGTTATGAAACTGGCAAGAGCCTGGGAGAAGATTTACATCTCAAAGGGCAGAGAAAGTATTTTCAATTACAACTTTTCTAAAGAATGTTCTAAAAAAAGGAAAAGGGAGAATCTTAGGTTTAAATTTAATCAAGTTTGAGGCACAACAAAAAAATGATTTGTCAATCAGGCAGCCCTCACAACCAGAATAGGTTCTATGAACTCTGGTGAACAATGTGATGAGGCAGCAATTATAGAAAATGTAAGTGAAGTATAGAGACAACTTATGTGGTTACAGTTTAATTGGTTGATTGGTTACAGAACATCCCGCAATTACCTAAAGCTCAGCAACTGTGGTTTAACCTCATATTGGTTTTGTCTGTGGAGTCTCGTGCAGGACTAAGGTCCAAATCAATAGGCTCCTACAAATTTTGTTTAACAATTCTTTTCTTTTGGTCAAGCTCTCATCTCTACAACCTTCCTATCCTCTCAGCTGTTTGTCCTGTACATTCCCTTCCTCTCACCCTGGAGGTCCACTCCAGGACAAAAACTGCTACTGCGCTCCTTTTCCCCTAATAAAAACACATCCTTTATGTAAGCTTCGTTTTCCAAAATTACATCCCAGGCTCCTCACAGAAGGAGTTATTTCCCTTATCATCTCTATTCTCAATTGCCATATATTGATTAGAATTTCTTTTTTATTTTTTTCCCATTTATTTATTTTATTGCATTTTAGGTTTTGGGGTACATGTGAAGAACATGCAAAATTGTTGCATAGGTACATACATGGCAGTGTGATTTGCTGCCTTCCTCCCCATCACCTACATCTGGCATTTCTCCCCTTGCTATCTTTCCCCAGCTCCCCACCCCCCACCATCCCTCCCCTATTTCCCCCCAACTGACCCCAGTGTGTAGTGCTCCCCTCCCTGTGTAACTCTCAGAAACCTCAACTTCCAGTGAAAACCTAGGAAGTAAGCCATTTTGTTTCATATCAGCATTTGGTAGGTGAGCACTATTTTATAATTTTTAGAAACATGTTTCCTCATAACACAATTTCCATGTTTATTTACAGACCCAAATATATTTAGTTTCTGCTGTATAAGAACAAGATGCCAAAATACATATATTTTAAACTTATACTCAACAGTTAATATTTTAGTATTTTTATTTACTTAGAAATGACTCTGAAATTTCATGAATGTTACTTAATAAACACATTTTGATAGCTTCTTGGCTACTATTATAGCATTAACTTTCCTATGCAGAAAAACGATTCAACCACAAACACAGACCAATACAAGAACATACAGTAGCCCCACCCTGTTATCATTGAGGGATGTTTCAAGACATAAATGATGTCTGAAACCATGGGTAGTATCAAATCCTACATATACTATGTTTTTTCCTATGTATAACTATGACAACATTTAACTTACTGATTAGGTACAGTAAGAGATTAACAATAATGAAATATAACAATTGTAACAATACACTGCACTAAAAGCTATGTGAATGTGGTACTGTATGTACTCACCTATTCTTGGACCGTGGTTGACCATAGGTGGCTGAAACCACAGAAAGGAAGACTGCAGATAAAGGAGCACTAATATATTTGTATCCTGTTTAATATGGTTATTGAATGAAATCCCACTGTTCATTTGAAATGGTCCTTCAGGTAGCAGAAAAGTGCCACCAGAGGTTTGATTGTCTTCCAAGGCTTACGAGTTTGGCAAACCAGAAATTGAGCACAAACCATTTTAACAATTTTAAATTTGTCACCCCACCAACATTTTTTCATAATTTGGATCCGTTTGCCTATTACATGAGTTGTAGAGTGCAAAGCTCTTAAGCCATGAGCCACCACACCCAGCCAGTTTATGTTTCTTAATCGGACTGCTAAGTTCAAGACAAAGTTCGTTTATAAATAAAGCAGTTAATGTCATTTCAGTCTCTTAAGGAAATATTCCCTTGCTGTATTTTAAACCCACCATTTACAAATGGTGTTTCTAAATGAGCTCTGTAATCTGAAATCAGCTTATCTTTCTTCTGCTTGCAAGAGTATATGTTGGGCCAATCCGTGTTCTGTAGAAAAACCAGAAGGATTGAATTTAACTGGTTTTCAGTGACTCTTTTAGCTCTTTTCGTCCTTTCTCATGGGGGAAGACGGTGTCTAATTTCCTGCTCAAGTTCTTTCCATTTACTGTTACCATCCATTTATGAGCTTCACCAGGTTCAAATATCATGTGAATAAATTGGTAATCATCAAGGCGTCCTAGACGTGAAGTTCCTATGAGAATTCTAAATTCCTTTGTAAACTTGTGGGGATTTACTTCTGGAATAGCAAAGTCTCTTACAATGGCTCTAATCTCAGCGTTAGACCATGGATTTCAGCGGTTATGGCAGGCACCCAGGCATTTGTTGAACTTCCCCTTTTTAATTATGCTCAAGATAAAAAATGGTAATTGAGCAAAAATATAAGAGGAATCGGGGTATCGGGGTAATGATGGATAAGGAGAAGGAGCAGTCAGGGTTAATTCAGTCAGAATAAACCCCTTTTCATCATGTCCTCTATTTGTTGCTTAAGTGTTTATTTGTATTCTGTAAAGAATCATTTAGAGGGGCAATTTTTGATTCATTTAATCTGTTAGAAACCTCTGCATATTAATTTAAAGTGTATTCCATGTTTTTGTGGGAGTTTTGATCCTTCTTTTTCTAATGTGTCCTGCAAATAATTTTATTCAACTTAAAACTTCCTCATTATGGCCACTTTAATTCTAAGTTATTTCTAGTAAGGTTGAGTCATTCTTGTAAAAATTGCACATGTATTGAGTCCTTTTTTTTTTTTTTTTTTTGAGGAAGGATCTCACTTCTGTCACTCAGACTAGAGTGCAGTGAAATAATCATTGTTCACTGCAGTCTTGACCTCCTGGGCTCAAGAGATACTCCAGCCTCAACCTCCCAAAGTGCTGGGATTATAGATGTAAGCCATACTGCCCAACCCCAGGTTCCTATTTCTCATACATGAAATTGGCTAGAGTTCCAGATAACTGAGTTCTAAACTCCTGGAATTGAAACAAATCTATTACCAAACCAACTGCTTTAAAAATCCTACCTTAACTCCAATGCAGCTCTGGATAAAGTCCAGTTTCTGTATGATTCAGTCAGACACCCAAGGTCTTCCTGGAGAACGTCATCTTGTTTCTGTTGCCACTGCTGATCCTAGTTCAGATCAAATTGCTCAAATAAGCCCAGAGAGTTCAGAACACAAATTAGTGAATGCTGGAAACTGAGCAAGAACTCGCCCACAATCTTCAGTTGCCAGGAGAGATCAATAGACACAATGGACTTTCGGGGCTACTCTCGCTTGCTCACCTCAGGCTCTCTAGGGGTCACTGGAGCTCTCCTTTGGATCTTGCCAACTATGCCAATCTTTGAAAGGAAAAACCTTAAACAGTTTAAATTTAACTGAGTTTTAAGAGGAAAAAATAATTTGCAAATCTGATAACCCTCAGAACCCAAACAGGTTCTAAGAACTCCAGTCAACGACGTGATCACGGCAGTAAGAGAAAACAGAAGTGAAGTACAGAGGCCATTTAAGTGGTTATGGTTTAATTGGTTAATTGGTTACAGAGCCTCCTGCAATTACCTGAAGCCCAGCTGCTTTGATTAAACTTTATTTTGGTCTTGTCTGTGGGGCCTCATGAAGGAGCTAGTCCAAATCAATGGCCTCTTACAAATTTTATTTAACAGAGGTCAAGGGCCTAAAGTCAAGAAGAAGCCTGTCTGATGTTTAGTCAAGCAGAGGGGAATGTTAAGGTCTTCTTGATCAGAGAAAACCTTAGAGTAAAACATTTGTCAGAATAAAAGAAAAACAAAAAGACCGTCACCATTTGCTATCAATAAAAAGCTATTAAGCATGTATTTCAGCAAGAATGTAATTGAATCAGGAAAGAGGAAAGGAAAGCAAGAAACAATGCTGAACAAAGAAATTGGCAAACATATTGGGAAGTTAAAATAAGCATTGAGTATAAGGAAGCTTGTAACAAAAATTAAAATTCGCAAGAACTTACAAATAAGATAGAGCCAAAATACATGACAGTGATAACACGCAAGACATTGAATCTGATTGTTAAAGTAGAAGTGTTTCAAGATCTCTGGTAAGATATAGAGCTATCGCTATATTTTAGAATTTGTCACGTATTTGGGGGTAAATATTAACATATAAAAAGGAAAATAAACTCTTTCAAAATCACTGGAGGAGATAGGGGACTAAATAAAGCTCAAACCATCAGAAGCCTACAACCAGAATGTCAATATTGGGCAGACAAAAAAGCTCGAAGAACAGACTGTTCTCTAGTCAAAGGACCAGGAAGAGAGCAGCCTAGCAAAATAGAAAACTTGCACAGGATAACCACCCCAGTAGAATTAAACACTACTGGGGGGAAAATGCGGCCCCACCTCATTCTTTCAGCAAAGTCCCAGGTGGGAGCTTAGTCTTCCATCCTCACCCAGCTGTAATGAAGCTGCTCCTCCCACACCCAGGATGGTAGCAGAGAAGAACAAGTTAGGAGCCAGGACTTTCATCCTAGTCTAGGAAGTGTGAATGAGTGCATGCACACGTGCACACACAGACACACACACACACACAGGGTCTGTTATGGCCACGTGGAAAGGCTGGACTTCAGCCTCCATCTGCATTAAAAAGGTACCCTTCTCCTCCCTATTTCCACAGGGCTAGTGTTAGAGGAAGCTGAGTGGGGAGACCTCTCAGCAGTAATGAGACCACCGCCCACCCATCAGCACCCCCATCTCCCTGATGTCTGTAGCAGTAACAAGGTACCCCTTCTCCTGCCAGCCAGATTGATAACGTTGGTCACCTAGTGAAGAACCTGAATTTCCACCCCCTGCTTGATAAACAAGCTGTGGTAAATCCATCTCACAGAATACTACCAAGCAATACAAGGAACAAGCTATTGCTACAGGCAACAATCTGGATGAATCTCAAGGCACTATGCTGGTACAGAAAAGGCAATCTAAATATTAAATGATGTTATATGAAGGATATTCATAATATAATGTTATATGAATGATTCCATTCATATAACATTATCAAAATGACAAAATTTTAGAGATGGACAGCAGATATGTATTGCTAGGGGTTAGAGGTATTCAGGGAGACAAGGGTGAGTGTTATTTTAATTGGCAGGAAGTACACAGGAGATCTGGTAATGGAGGGGTTCTGTATTTTGATTTTTGTGGTGATTATACAAATCTACATGTGATAAAATGGCATAGACTAATACATATACATTGTAGCAATGTCAGTTTCCTGGTCTTGATGTTGTTCTATAATTACCTAAGATAGGAACACTGGGGGAAATGCAATAAATAGTACATGGGACCACTCTGTGCTGTTCTTTGCAACTTTTTGTGAATCTATAATTATAACAGAAAAAAAATCATTCAATAAAAGGCAGAAAAGTGTGGATAAAGAAGCAAAGACATTTCTAACCTAAAACTTAGCTAGTTGCTGGAAATATGTAATCACAATGATTTAAAATGAATTGATCCCCCTATTAAAATAAACATTCTATTATTGAATTAAAAAGAATAAAAATTTAATCATATGCTGTTTGCAGTTGATACATCTAAACCACAAAGACAAAGAAAGCCTCAAATTAAAAGGATAGAATATTAGTATAAGTATAATGCACATAAAGGCAAAAAGTATAATCAAGATAAAAGAAAGTCCTCGCCTAATCAGTAAAAAAAAACTCATTAGGGATATTTAACAAGGCTCATATGCATTCTAAAAACAACTTCAAAATAATGATAAAATTGATAGAACAAGAATAAATTGGCAAAACAACAACCACAATGGAAAATAGCTATCTTTGAAATTAATAGAATATTTTAAACACATTTCTGAGAAAATGATAAAGCACACAGATAAAAACAGCCTTAAATATTTAGAATACTGAAACAACGTAATAAACCGTAGACATATAGTAAAGACATGTCAACAGTGTAACTAAAAACTTCAACTTATCTGTAAACAGGTGAATAAACATCCTAACCAACTGAGAGGTTATACTCCTGCCAAGGATGTAGAAAACTAGCAGGAACAGTTTCCAAACTATAAAAATAGAAAATAGAGTAGTGGTTACTGGGATAGGGCAGTGAGAAGGTAGAGGATGGGGATTAACAGTAAACGTGCGTGAGGAATCATATTGGAATGACAAAAATGTTCTAAAATGATTTAATGTCACGAGTACACTACTTGGTAAATTTTTTTAAATCATTGAATTATACATTTGAAAAGGATAAATTATATGATATGTAAAATGTGCCTCAATAAACTTATTTTAAAACAAGAGTCTTGCTCTCACTCCACCAATGAGAAAAAACTTGAATAAACTACAAAACTATAACTTTTCTTGAACATCTCAGAGAACTGGTCTTAGCAAGGAATCAAATAGCCAGTGGTAGAATGAAAGTAATCATAGCAACGATAAAACACAAACCTAGCTCTACTCCTTATTTTGGAAAAAAAAAAAGTAACTTCAAAAAGTATACATCAATTATCATAGAAAATTGTGAAATCTTCAAATAATTTCTCATGAGATTAGAAATGACATTCAGCATTGTTCTGGAGATCCTAGGCAGCAAATTTAGGCAAAAAATTAATTTAAAAATAATAAAGAAAGAAGCATAACATTTTTTGCATACTATATAGTCATATATTTGGAACATCTAGAAAAATCTACATATAAAATAATAAAATTACTAAGAGAAAATTGCAAAGTGGGTGAATACAAATCTATAAACAAAAATCAATTGTATTCCTATATGTCATCAACAATTAGAAGCAAATTTGTGGCCAGGCATGGTGGCTCATGCCTGTAATCCAGCACTTTAGGAGGCCGAGGCAGAGGGATCACCTGAGGTCAGGAGTTCGAACATGGCCAACATGGAGAAACCCTGTCTGTACTAATAATACAAAAATTCACTTGCTGTGATGGCAGGTGCCTGTAATTCCTGCTACTCGGGGGATTGAGGCATGAGAATCACTTGAACCCAGTAGGTGGAGGTTGCAGTGAGCTGAAATCATGCCACAGCACTCCAGCCTGGGCGACAGAGTGAGACTCCATCAAAATAAAGAAAAAGAAGCAATTTATAAAGTGTTTTGATATACCATTTGTATTAGTCTGTTCTCACACTGCTCTAAAGAAATACCTGAGATTGAGTGATTTATAAAGAAAAAAAATTTAAAGTTTAATTGGCTCACAGTTCCATGGGCATAATTCTGGCATCTGCTTGGCTTCTGGGGAGCCCTCAGGAAAACCTACTATCATGATAGAAAGCAAAGGGAGAGTGAGGCATCATGCATGGTAGGAGCAGGAGGAAAAGAAAGAGGGAGAAAGTGCTACATACTTTTAAACAGTCAGATCCTGTGAGAACTCTATCATTAGAACAGCACTAGGGGATGGTGCTAAGCCATTAGAACTGCCTGCATGATCTATTTACCTCCCACCAGACCCCACCTCCAGCACTGGGGATTACATTTGAACATGAGACTTGGGTGGAAACAGATCCAAACCATATTATTCTACCCCAGCCCCTTCCAAATCTCATGTCCTCCTCACATTTCAAAATACAATCATGCCTTCCCAACAGTCCCCCAGAGTCTTAACTCCTTCCAGGATGAACTCAAAAGTCCACAATTTCAAGTCACATCTGAGACATGGCAAGTTCCTTCTGCCTGTGAGCCTGTAAGATAAAAAAATAAGTTAGTTACTTCCAAGATACAATGGGGGTATAGATATTGAGTAAATACTCTCATTCCAAAAGGGATAAATTGGCCAAAAGGAAGGGGCTACAGGCCCCATGCAAGTCCAATACCCAGCAGTGCAGTCAGTCAATCTTAAAGCCCCAAAATAATTTCCTTTGACTACATGTCTCACATCCAGGGCACACTGGTGAAAGAGGTAAGCTTCCAAGGCCTTGGAAGCTCCACCCCTGTGATTCTGCAGGGCTCAGCTCCCATAGTTGCTCTCAAGGGCTCCATTGAGTGCCTGCAGCTTTTCATGCACACAGTGCAATCCGTCAGTGGATCTACCATTCTGGGATCTGTAGGACAGTAGCCTTCTTCTCACAGCTCCGCTAGGCAGTGCCCCAGTGGGGGCTTCATTTCCACATTTCCCCTCTGCATTGCCCTAGTAGAGGTTCTCCATGAAGGCTCTACCCCTGCAGCAGACTTCTGCCTGGAGACACAGGTTTTTCCATACATCCTCTGAAATCTTGGCAGAGACTCCCGTGCCTCAACTCTTGCACTCTGCACACCCACAGGCTTAATGCCACATGGAAACCACCAAGGCTTACAGCATGCACCCTCTGAAGCAACAGCCTGAGCTATATCTGGGGCTCTTTAGTAACAGCTGGAGTTGGAGCAGCTGTGATGCAGGAAGCTATGTCCTAAGGATGCACAGAGCAGTGGGACCCTAGTCCTGGCCCATGAAATCATTCTTCCCTCCTAGATCTCTGGGCCTGTGATGGGAGTGGCTGCTGTGAAGGTCTCTAAAATGCCTTTGGAGTCTTCCCATTGTTTTGGTTATTAACATTTGGCTCCTTTTTACTTATGCAAATTTCTTCAGCCTGCTTGAATTCTGTTTCAGAAAATGAATTTTTCTTTTCTATGACATGGACAGGCTGCAAATTTTCCAAATTTTTACACTCTGCTTCCCTTTGAAATATAAGTTCCTGTTTCAGGTCATTTTTTTGCTCATGCATATAAGCATAGGTTGTTAAAAGCAGGCAGATCACAGCTTGAATGCTTTGCTGCTTAGAAATTTCTTCCTTCAGATACTCTAAATCAACAGTCTCAAGTTCAAAGTTCCACAGATCCCTAGAGCAGGGGCACAATGCAGCCAGTCTCTTTGCTAAAGCATAGCAAAAATGACCTTTGCTCCAGTTCCAAATAAGTTCCTCATCTCCATCTAAGACTTCTTCAGCTTGGATCTCATTGTCCATATAACTATCACCATATTGATCACAATTTAACAAGTCTCTAATAAATTCTAAATTTTTCCCTCATCTTTCTGTCTTCTTCTAAGCCCTCCAAACTGTTCCAACCTCAGCCCATTACCCAGTTCGAAAGTCGCTTCCACATTTTCAAGTATCTTTATACCAATTTCCCACTCCTTAGTACCAATTTTCTATATTAGACCATTCTCACACTGCTATAAAGAAATGCCTGAGACCAGGTAATTTATAAGTAAAATAGGTTTAATCAGCTGATGGTTCTGCAGGCTATAAAGAAAGCATAATTCTGGCATCTGCTTGGCTTTGGGGGAGGCCTCAGGAAACTTACAATCATGGCAGAAGACAAAGGCAGAGTGAGAAGTCTCACATGCTGGGAGTAGGAGGAAGGGAGCAAGGGGGAGGTGCCACGCCCTTTTAAACAACCAGATCTTGTGGGAATTTTATCACAAGAGCAGCACTAGGGACATGGTACTAAACCATTAGAAATCACCTCCATGATCCAATCACCTCCTACCAGGTCCCACCTCCAGCATTAAGGAATTGCATTGCAAAATGAGATTTGGGCAGGGACACAGATCTATATTATATCAGCATTTATAAAAACAAAAAAATTAAGTACTGAAGAATCAATCTAACATAGATATGTAAGACCTTTTCAAATAAAACCATAAAACTTTACTGAGAGACATTAAAGAAAAACATAATAAGAGTAAAACATATCATACTCACGGTTTGGAAGATTCACTTCAATGAATATTTTTATTCTTTCCAAATTGATTTAGAATTCAAGAGAATACCCATCAAATTCCGACAGGTTTTTGTGGAAACTGCTGTCTCTGAAATTTATGTGGAAGTAGAAAGAGCCAGGAACAGCCAACATACTTTTGAACAAGTCAAATGAGATGGAAGGATTTGTTCTTCAAAATATCAGGGCCTATCTTAAAAAGCTACAGTAATTAATTCAGTGCATACTCTACAGTGGTAGTCAATAGACCCGTGAAACACAATAGAGCACTGAGAAACAGACTTATGCTTATTTGACCTCTTATAGTATGGTAGGGATGGTTTTGCAGTTCAGAAAAGAATCACCTTTTCAAAAAATGTAAAAAACTGAATGAAAACACTTTCAGAAGACATTATAGGAAAACATCTTCCTGACTTTTGGATAGGGAATGATTTATTAAATAAGACTTAAAGATCACTAATTATAAAGGAAAAGATAAATTTATTTACATTAAAACAGCCACCCAAAGACATCATAAGGAAAATAAAAAGTCAATAAACAGAGTGAGAATATTTCTAACACATACGGCTAAAGAACTTGCACTTAAAATGCACAAAGATTATAGACAACTGAATTTTAAAATGAGCAAAACAATTGAATAGGCATTTTACCAAAAGAGAGTGTAGCTACAGCCAGGCATGGTGGCACACACCTGTAATCCCAGCACTTTGGGAGGCTGAGGTGGGCAGATCACGGGGTCAGGAAATCAAGACCATCCTAGCCAACACGATGAAACCCACCTCTACTGAAAATACAAAAATTAGCTAGGTGTGGTGGTGCATGCCTGTAATTTCAGCTACTTGGGAAGGTGAGGCAGGAGAATCACTTGAACCCAAGAGTCAGAGGTTGCAGTGAGCCGAGATCGCACCACTACACTCCAGCCTAGTGACAGAGCAAGACTCTGTCTCAAAAAAAAAAAAAAAGTGTAGCTAAAAATAACCAATAAATTTCTTTAAAAAGTGCTTAACCTAATTAGTAATTAAGAAAATGTCAGTTTAAGAACAATGAAATATCATTACTCACATAACATTTTAAAAATGAGACAACCCAAGTGGTGGAAAGGATGTAAAACAAAATAACTCATAGACTGCTGATAAAAGCATAAACTGATGCAAGCACTTTGGAAAACAGCTTGGCACTATCTAGAAAAAATGTGGATACAAATACCCTAAAGCACATATATACTGTATACATACATGCAATATACTAACCAATATAGAGAATATCTATAGGTATTAACATTTCATGGAGGACAAGGAGTGGGGACAACAGTTAGGAAAAACAATATCTAAAGAGGCTCCTTAATGAGGTAATAATGCAAAATGGTTGAGGGACACTTGACTAGGCAATGAATGAAGCAGGACGGGGATGAGTCTAGAGGTCCAGATGGTTCGAGTTAACAGATAGGACTATTTATTATGGTGGCTGATACAAAGGAGTAAGTGAAGCAGAAAGGATGTGGCCTCATAATTATTTAGAAACAGATAGGTAATTAGTTCAAGTTATCATCCCAAGCATTGAACTAAAAGTTTTAGGATCTCCACAGAGGGCAGTTTCTCCAGCAACTTACTGAGCTGTGTGTGATGCTCTAGGAGTGGATCTAGCTCACAGGGGACAGGATGTAATAGGAAAATCATTAGAGTGTGCTTACATGACACAAAGAAATGGTGTGGAAGGATTGGGCCCCAGGCACTTCCATCTTGAACTACACAATAATCACTAGGGCTGTGAGCTAGTGTTGGATCCAATAGGAAAGATTTATTTTATAAAGAATGTTAGAAGTTATCATGAATGCAGAATTGCATCCCCCAATAGGTATCTTTGAAAATGAAGAGAAACAGTGCAACTATAGTTGGTTAATGATTTCATTATTTAGTCAAAATAATAATTATCAAATAGACAACAAGAGCAGTCATTATAGTAAAAGCCAGTAGGAAGTATAATTTAAAGAAGGGGTCAGACTGAGAAAACGTTAAGTAAAGCTTGAAGTAAAATGAAATGGCGAGCTGTAACACACAGTGAATAAAAGAATAGACTCACAAAATAGTCCAGCCAGAAGGACTTTTGGTGATAACGAAGCCTATAGTAGTTAAGTGACTTGGCTGAGTCATGAAGCCAACCAACGGGTAACTGAACCCTTCAGGTCTTCTTGTCCAGTGCTTCTCCCAATAAATTGTATAGCCTCTGAAAAAACACTGTCATTTTGCCTTAGAATTATTACTAGAAAAATCCATTTTCCTTATTTATTTTTCAATTTTTATATTGAACTTGTATCTCCAAATTATTCAAATAAGCTACTTTAAAATCACCCTTCAAAGAATAACTGAAAATTATACTCACATGAGAATCACATCAAGATACTGGGGGCTTTGAAACCATACCCACAATTCTCACCAAAAAAAAAAAAAAAAACTTTGGACTATTAGTTATTATAACTATTTTCCTATAATAGAACATGCATTTCCTCAAAATTCCAAAAACTCAGAAAAATAGCTTTTTAAGGAAAGTTATAATGACCGAAGGCTTCTCTCTGAATTAAACAGTGTGTGATTATTCTCCTGAATAATGTACAAAGATCTGGGGAGAATGTATTAACTTATTCATTACACAAAGAAGGAGGAATATTAAGTGGTATTAATCTTTAAAACAGAAACTAAGCAGGGATGCAGCATCTGTGAGTTAGAAACCCAAACCAGAGTTGATAAAACGCTTATACTTAAACATTGATGAATCTAAGAAAAAGCAAGTAAAGGATACAGATTTAAAATGCATTATTGAGTGGAAATGGAAACAGAAAAAAATTTTCAAGAGTCATTCTTGTAGTTGACACTGCTGTTACAGCATTTTGTTGATGATGGAATGTAAAATAAAATTTGTACATAACAGCAGATGGGACATTTCTATGTATATGGCCAGAGTCATCAATTTATTGTGCTGTGTCATAGAAAAAGAAAGTATCGATCATAGCAGTCAACTCTGAAGAAAATCCTCAACATAGAATTAGAGGGTCCACTGGGAAAAACTAGGCTCTTGCTTTGAGACAGGTGAGGTCTTGATAGTTACTTTTATACATGAGATTAAGAGCCCATCAGTGGCTTCTCTAAGAGGCTACAGGTACCATGAAACACCATAACACCAAGAGAAGCCAAAGCTTCATAGTTACCACATTACCTGTTGACTTGCTCTGCGTATATTACTGAACCTCATACAATTTGCTGCACTGAAAATTTTTTTGCCTATATTGCAAAAACATTAAGAATTTACAAAATCAACGTCATTTTTGGAGCATAACTATGCATCTTATGTTACCTGTGAATTTGTTTAATGTGTAAAATAAAATGTAATGTCAACAAGAGATAGCATTATATGAGCACCAAAGTATCTATTGTTGTCAATAATCCTTGGACAGCATATTAAAGTGAATCCTTGAAAAAGACAGAATTGTTCCACTAAATATGTAAAAAAGGATGATTAATGATAAAATAACTAAATACCAAATTTGGGTTTCTTCTTCTTTACAAAAATTCCCAAGATAAATTACCTAAAAATATTTGCAACCACTAGGATAGTAAGAAAATACTTAGGATTACACTTCACTGTCTTTTGTGAACTCCTAGTAATGAGTCAATTTGAGTAAAATCTGCAGGTAAGACCTCAACAACTGAATGTCTGGCTCAGGAAGTGTTCAGCTTTATTAAACATCTGATGGTCTTAGGTCTGAATATAAACCCCATTCAGAGTGCTGTTTATTATAGACAGTTCTTTTGAGTTAACATATTTGTAGTCACCACTATGAATGTCAGTTATCATCAGTTTATTTCTTAGCCATAAAAATGATCCCAACTTTTGGAATCTACTTTCTAGTAGCTAAATCTCTGGTCCCAGTTTATTTTCCATTTCAAAGTTAAAGTCAAATGTAAAATATATTGCCACTGTGAGTGTTCCAGTTAGCTGAAAATGTTCTATGCTCTGTCCATTTTTAAATGTTAAAATGTGACTTAGAAATCCAAAGGTAGTACATCTACAATAAAATTATAAATTTCATTTTACAAAAGTTACAAATGTATGCTTGTTTGTCACAATAACATTGTGACATAAAGAAGTGTGTTACTACTACTGAAACTCAAAAAGGTTGGGTCATTCTCTAATTGTTCTCTCACAATTCCCATTCAACCTGTTAGTAATTCCTGGTGCTTCTACTCCCAGAAAGAACCCAGAATCCAACCATTTCCATGGGCAGCCACCTCCTGAGGCCCTCCATCATCTCTCACCTGCATTACGACAATAGCTGGCAAATAGTGTTCCTGTTTCTTTTTTTTTTTTTTTTTTTTTTTTTTTTTTTTTTTTTTTTTTTTTTTTTTTTTTTTTTTTTTTGAGACGGAGTTTCGCTCTTGTTACCCAGGCTGGAGTGCAATGGCGCGATCTCGGCTCACCGCAACCTCCGCCTCCTGGGTTCAGGCAATTCTCCTGCCTCAGCCTCCTGAGTAGCTGGGATTACAAGCACGCGCCACCATGCCCAGCTAATTTTTTGTAGTTTTAGTAGAGACGGGGTTTCACCATGTTGACCAGGATGGTCTCGATCTCTTGACCTCGTGATCCACCCGCCTCGGCCTCCCAAAGTGCTGGGATTACAGGCTTGAGCCACCGCGCCCGGCCTAGTGTTCCTGTTTCAAGTCACTTCTTCTATCAGTATCAAGAGCATTTATTTTAAAATATGCACCAGATCTTATTACTGTTTTGCCAGAACCCTGCAGTGAATCCCATTTCACTTAGGATAAAGGCTGAATGCAGCTGTAAACATGATGACAAGATCCCACTTGCTCTTCTCTTCTGTATCTCTTGTACCTTACCTCCTACTCGTCCCCGCTTTGCTCACCTTTCTACAGCCACCCTCATCCGCATACTATTTTTCAAACACACAAGGGCATGCTCCTGCTTCAGATGCTGGGAACTGGCTTTTTCTGCTGCTCTTGCCTCAAATGTTCACATGACCTCCTTCTCCATCTACTTGGAATCGCTGTTCAGTTCTTACCTATCTGGTGAAACCTATCCTTACCATCTGTTTACAATTACAACTTTAGCCAGGCACAATTGTGTGCACTTGTTCCCAGCTACTTGGGAGGCTGAGGCGGGAGAATTGGTGAGCCCAGGACTCTAAGTCCAACCTGGGCAACATAGTAAGATGTCATCTTTAAAAAACATAATTTTTTAAATTGCAACTTCTCTAACACTCTTTAGTCTTGATTCCTCTATTTTATAAATCATGACACTTATGTTTTGTTTGCCCTCAAATCCTCCCCACCTTCTGTTAGAATGGAAGCTCATAAGGAAGGATTTCTATCGATGTGTCCTGAGTACCTAAAACAGTTTCTACAACACATCATTCTCTCTATAAAAATAAGCTAAATAAATAAATGAAAAAAACATACATGAGAGCTCAAACGAGTATTTTTTTTCCTTGTTGCTACTATTGTTTTGTTCCTAATTGGGTTAGAGCAGCCTGATAGGCTCTGGGAGCACCTTTACTTGGGATTAGTCATATAACCCAGTGAGACAAAAAATAACTGATAAAGTGAAGAATATCCAGTTTCCTGCAGTGGTCTGTAAAAATCTAACAGGTTTGTATTTTCAATATGTGCAATATAGTGCTAAGTTTAGTCATGGCCCCTGGATTAAACAGCATCAGAAAAAGACTCCATGTGTCCTATACAGTAATGTGAGGACAAAGTAGAATGGAAATTGGTGGCCAGTCTGGGATTTCATTAAATGTGTCAGTCAGGTAGAGAAAGGAAATTTCGTTAGCCCAGAGTACATTGCTCATCACATGCCAAGAAACTATGCAAAGATACTTCTGGTCAAATGGCTCTGCCTTCTCCTGGGTTAACAGGAAACCCAGGGTCACAGCTATGGAAAAAGGGGCAGTGGTGGCCATAATAAAAGATTAGAAAATATGAACTATTTATACCTATTGTCATTCAAAATTGACAATGCACTCGCATTTGTTATAAGACCTCAAAACAAAAATAAATAAATAAATAAATAAATAAAATACTAAGATTATATTCTTATAAAGGATTCAGGGAACCCTGCATTCTAATTATCATGGGCATTATATTTAAAGTCTCTCCAACCCCTTTAAACAGAATTTTCAAATGTATTCTCTGATTGATTTTTTTTTTTTACTTGAAGCTGAATAAGAAAAATGATCATTTGCCTAATGGAAAGACATGACCATTTAAAATCAGCTTTCTGATTCAAATAATGCTTATCATCAAAAGGATGTCTTTTAATGTTTAGAAAATACTATAAAATGGATTTTTGTGCTGGCAATACCCTATAGATATTTGCTTAAAGGGATAATGTCCCAGCGGAATTTATTTTAGTACCAACATCTGAATTTAAGCAGGCACATTGTATTAGAAACCTTTACTTACAAAAGAATCAGTTGGAATTAAATTATTTAAGTATGCCTCTTGGTTTCAGCCAACTACATAAAGATGTATCTCAGAATTTGAACTTGTAATAAAGTACAGCCTTGCCATTTGTGCAAAATCTGGCAAATACAATGCATAATTAGAAAATGTGCCTGACTATTGGGAAAATGAAACTCATCCACCTAGGCTTAGACAATTTGTTTGCTCCATATTTCAAGCAAATAAATATTTCAAATTCTTTCACAAAAGGAAGGGAAAGCTGCAATATACTCTGTTCATAAAGGTCAACTTTCTCTAATAGGAAAAGCATGTGCATTTTGATGTTAGACAGACTTAGGTTCAAATCCTGGCTCTAACATTTACTTACCATATAATATTTGGGTGTTACTTAACTAAGTCTCAGTTCCCTCATTCTGTAATATGAGGGAATAATAGGGAGGTACTTACCTCAATGAGTTGTTTATGCTGATTATAAACGATAATACATGAAAATCATCTTATGCATAGGAAGTAATAAAATAAATGGAAGTTATTGTTCATATTCTTAAAAAAATCATACTAATATGCTAAAATACTCTGGTACCCTAGAAGAAAGGAAAAGGACATACCTGAAAAAAGGCTATAGGTTTTTTTTAATGTTATTTTATCTTTCCTCTCCTTTCTCACTGTTATCTGTCTTCTGGAAAACTGCTGTCTCTCATCTAATGATGAGAATGCCTTCTCAAGACTTCTAATCACCACCCTCCTAACTTCAACATAGCTAATTAATTAGCCTCCAGATCAATTGACCTAGTAGTACATCCCTTTGATAATATAATTTCCCATGTGAAAAACTTTGGTAATTCCCTGTTACATACTAAGTAAAACTGAGACTTCTGAATTTAACATTTAAGGCTCTCAAAAACTTTGCACACATTGCTTTTTATGTCCTATCTTCTCCAATTTATCCACACATAGCATACACTGCAGTTAATCCACTCTACTCAGTCTTCTAACCATATTTGATAAGAGGAGCTTAAAAAGAATGAAACAGAAATGCAATAAGGGTGAGCTATTCTTGGTACCCAGTTTAAGGGACATATGTCTAAATTTGATAGCTACTTACCATTTATTTTCCCTACAAAGTAATTCCCTTTAGCTCCAAGGTCTGTTTCCTTTTTGTCTTAGGGAACTGTATAGTGTCCCTTAGAAAGTGGGCTGTGATTAGGTGGTCTAAGCTGGGATGGTTAGAATTGAAGTGACTTTGGCATTGCTGGACACAGAGGACAGACAGAGATCTAAGTGAGGCCTTTAGCCTAGTTTGAGAAGAACAGCTAACTCTACCTAGGAAAAATTTTCAATGCCCATGGAAAGGTGGAAAGGTATCTTACATCAGAAAATGCCAAAATCCCATCAGGACATAATAAAGTCAATAGTGAAAGCTCAAAGGGAAAGCATTTCCAGTTTGTGGTCAGGGTGACTGCAGGTTTTCTCCTCCTCTTTCATGATGTCACTTTTGATACACATATTATGAAATATGAGCTTTGCTGTATAATTTTAAGGGGAAGTCTATTGCAAAGAATATTAAGTGCAGATTCATTAAAACATTGGTTGACATGCACAGCAGCAGCACTGGCTGCCATGGTGAGGGAAGCTCCCATAAAGTCTCAAAAATCTGAAAAACCAATCAGCCTCTTGATTATTTGTGTTCCCTGGGAAACCAGGAAAGTTTCAGCTCTGATGGTACTAATTTTGTGCTAATAACACTTAGTCTGCACCTTCCCATCTCTATGTGCCTGTTATACCAACCTCCTTTCTGTAAACTTACCCTGTGAAAATCCTTCCCAGCTCAATAGTGTATCCTTCATGAAGCTCCCCTTCCTTCCCTACTCCTTTCCTCTGGCAGAAAATGTTTTCTCCTCCAATTCCTACTGTAGATTGTAGCACAATGTTGTAGTTATTTGTTCTCATGTTACAGCCCATTTTATACCTGAAGGTAAAAAAAAAAGGCAGCAGGTGAAGGTTTTTGCTTTGTAATTTTATTATTTCTCTATAATTCCTAGGGCCTTATATACAGGAAGCACTCAGTAAATATTGGCTACAAAAATGAATCAAAACAGAATATGTGTTGGTTTCCCTAGTCGCTTCTTAGAATTAGGGAAGATAATCTTTGAAGTGCATCTTGAAGGCTGACAAAAGGACAATGGACAAATTGTAGGAGTGGACATAATAGGAAACTGTTCTCTAGGCAGAGAGAATTCATGTAGCAGGGCAGGGAAATCAGAAACAGCATGGCATGGTTGAGAAACTACAATAAATTCAGCATGGCTGGAGTGCAGCAATATTTGCTCATATTTCAGAAGGCACTAAAGAACAAGTCTGATGTGCTAAGAGGAATTGTGGAGAATGTTTTGTTGATAAGGAAATGCTGGGCCTGTGATCTGTTTTACATGCCTTTGTGGACTAAAATTATCTTAATAAGGCAGTTTACTCAAAAGAGCTTCCTTTGTGGCTATAGATGCAGTGTTCTTGCTTCTTTTTATTCTCCTCAAAAATAGAAAAGCACTGGCAGCACTCCTAAATTCTAGTCAGAAACCTTAAATTTTTCTAGAGTGGTTAGTTGGGTTACTTCTAAAAATCTATCATAATTCTAGTACCAGCCTTCACCAATGCATAAATAAGTTTTGTCTTCCAACTATATTTATAAGCCAGTTGACTAGAACTTGGAAGGCAGACCACTATAGAAAAGATGGCAGTTAATTTCCTTGGCTCATTCATGGTTTTCAGGCTTTGGGCTCACTGATTTCTCTCCACTACCCTACACTGTCTCCCACTTTTCTTTCCTTTTTAACTTCACCTTTCACTAAGCCCCCACACTGTTTGCTGAATGTCACATGCACATGTGCAATTGTACAAAGTACCATTTTATACAAGTAAGATTTGGAAGTACTCACTTCCAAACCTCAGTATTTTCAAGGTACCAATGGACATAGTCAAAGATTTTGTCATACAAATCATTGTAAATATATAGTATCATGAAAGTGCATCTATCCTTTTTCACTTGTACAAATTATTGGCACACTGAGACCAAAGTCTTGGAGGCCCGATACTTGTGAATGTCACTGAAATCTAGTAAATATTAGAAAAATAATAAAGTTGTTTTGGGAGGATCCCAGATGGCCAAATAGGAACAGCTCTGAAGTGCGGTTCCCAGCAAGAACAATGCAGAGGGTGATTACTCACTGCATTTCAAAACAAGTTTTCACTGCCCGCAGAACAGAGGATTCCAGGCCGAAAAGCACCATGAGTTTTCAGCACAGCTGGTGCTGCAGGTTGGCACACAGAAATGCACACAAATCTGGTCGGCCATTTCAACTGGCACCTGGAATGCCTGGGAGACAGAGCCACCCACTCAACTGAAAGGGAGGGGGCTCAGACAGGGAGCCAGGTGATTTGGATGGGCGGGTACCACCCCCACAAAACAAGCAATCTGAAACGCTCTGGATTGAGAGTTTCACAGCAAGCGCACCTGGACCCGGGATGGTCCAGCTCAGTGAGGAGAAGGGCGTCCGCCACTACTGAGGCAGTATGCCAATACCAAGGCAGTTCACATAGCAGCTGGGCAGAGCCTGTGGCAGCTCAGCAACACCTCTGCTGGCAGACTGTGACCAGACTACTCCACATGGAGCAGGGCATCTATAAAAAAAGGGAGCAGCACATCAGGAACTTATAAATAAAGCCAACCTTCCTAGGTCAGAGCACCTGGGAAAAGAGGCGGTTATGAGTTCCGCTGCAGCAGACTAAAACATTCCCACCCAGCAGCTCTGCACAGAACAGTGGAGGTCCTAGCACAGCACTTGAGCTCCTATAAGGGACAGACTGTCTTCTCAAGCAGCTCCCCAACTCCTGTATACCCAGAGACACCTCATAAAGGAGAGCTCAGGCTGACATCTGGCAGATACCCTTCTGGGACAAAGAGGAAACTGGTAACAACCCTTACTGTTCTGCAGCACCCGAGGGTGATCCCCAGGCAAGCAGGGTCTGGAGTGGACTTTAGCAGTCCTGCAGCAGAGGGGCCTGACTGTTAGAAGGAAAACTAAGAAACAGAATAAAATAGCTTCAACATCAACAAAAAGGATGTCCACTCAGAGACCCCATCCAAAATTAACCAGCTACAAACACCACAGGTAGAAAAAGCCACGAAGATGGGAAGAAACCAGCAAAAAAAGGATGAAAACACCAAAAAACAGAACACCTCTCCTCCTCCAAAGGATCACAACTCCTCACCAGCAAAGGATCAAAGATGGATGGAGAATGAATCTGATGAATTAACAGAAACAGGCGTCAGAAGGTGGGTAATAACAAACTTCTCAGAGCTAAAAGAACATGAGCTAAAAGAACATGTGCTAACGCAATGCAAACAAACTAAGAACCTAGAAGAAAGGATAGATGAGATGTTAACTAGAATAAACAGCTGAGAGAAGAATATAAATGACTTGATGGAGCTGAAAAACACAGCATGAGAACTTGGTGAAGCATACACAAGTTTCAATAGCCGAATCCACCAAGCAGAAGAAAGAGTATCAGAGATTGAAGATCAACTCAGTGAAATAAAACAAGAAGTCAAGAATAGAGGCAAAAGAGTGAAAAGAAATAAACAAAGCCTCCAAGAAATATGGGATTATGTGAAAAGACCTAATCTACATTTGATAGGTATACCTGAATGCTACGGAAAGAATGAATCTAAGCTGGAAAACACTTTCCAGGATATTATCCAAGAGAACTTCCCTAACCTAGCAAGGCAAGCCACCATACAAGTCCAGGAAAAACAGACAACACGACAAAGATATTCCACAAGAATAACAACCCCAAGGCACATAATCATCAGATTCGCCAGCATTGAAATGAAGGAAAAAATGCTAAAGGCAGCCAGAGAGAAAGATGAGGTTACCCACAAAGGGGAGCCCATCAGACTCACAGCAGATCTCTCTGCAGAAACCCTACAAGCCAGAAGACAGTGGGGACCAATATTCAACAACCTTAAAGAAAAGAACATTCAACCTAGAATTTCATATCCAGCCACACTAAGCTTCATAAGCGAAGGGAAATAAAATTGTTTACAGACTAGCAATTGCTGAGAGATTTCATCACCACCAGGCCTGCCTTACAAGAGCTCCTGAAAGAAGCACTAAATAAGGAAAGGAACAACCAGTACTAGCCACTCCAAAAACATACCAAACGGTAAAGACCATTGACATAATGAAGAAAATGCATCAACTAATGGGCAAAACATCCAGCTAGCAGCAAAATGGCAGGATCAAATTCACAAATAATAATATTAACCTTCAATGTAAATGAGCTAAAAGCTCCAATCAATAGAGACAGACTGGCAAGTTGGATAAAAAGTCAAGACCCATTGCTATGCAATATTCAGGAAACCCATCTCACGTGCAAGGACACACATAGGCTCAAAACAAAGGGATGGAGGAAGATTAAGCAAGCAAATGGAGAGCAAAAAAAAGCAGGAGTTGCAATCCTAGTCTCTGATAACACAGACTTTAAACCAACAAAGATCAAAAGAGACAAAGAAGGGCATTACCTGATGGTAAAAGGATCAATGCAACAAGAAGGGCTAACGATCCTAAATATATACACACCCAATACAGGAGCACTCAGATACATAAAGCAGGTTCTTAATGACTACAAATAGACTTAGACTCCCACACAAAAATAGGAGACTTTAACACTCCACTGTCAATATTATACAGATCAACAGACAGAAAATTAACAAGGATATCCAGGACTTGAACTCAGAGCTGGACCAAGTGGACCTAATAGACATCTACAGAACTCTCCACCCCAAATCCACAGAATATACATTCTTCTTAGCACCACATCACACCCACTCTAAAATTGACCACATATTTGGAAGTAAATCACTCCTCAGCAAATGTAAAAGAATGGAAATCATAACAAACAGTCTCTCAAACAACAGGACAATTAAATAAGAACTCAGAATTAAGAAACTAACTCAGAACCACACAACTTCATGGAAACTGAACAACCTGCTCCTGAATGTCAACTAGATAAACAATAAAATGAAGGCAGAAATAAAGATGTTCTTTGAAACCAATGAGAATGAAGGCACAACGTACCAGAATCTCTGGGACACATTTAAAGCAGTGTCTGGAGGGAAATATATAGCAATAAATGCCCACCAGAGAAGCAAGGAAATATCTAAAATCGACACCCTATCATCAAAATTGAAACAGCTAAAGGAGGAAGATCAAAAAACTCAAAAGCTAGCAGAAGACAAGAAATAACTAAGATCAGAGCAGAACTGAAGAGACAGAAACAGAAAAAAAACCTTCAAAAAATCAAGGGGCTAGTTTTTTGAAAAGATCAACAAAATAGACAGACTGCTAGCCAGAATGAAAAAAAAAGGGAGAAGAATCAAATAGATGCAATAAAAAACGATAAGGGGGATATCACCACAGATTCCACAGAAATACAAACCACCATCAGAGACTACTACAAACAACCCTATGCACATAAACCAGTAAACCTGAAAGAAATGGATAAATTCCTGGATACTTGCATGCTCCCAAGCCTAAACCAGGAAGTAGTTGAAACCTTGAACAGATCAATAACAAGGGCTGAAGTCGAGGCAGCAATTAATAGCCTACCAACCAAACGTACAAAGAGGAGCTGGTAACATTCCTTCTGAAACTATTCCAAACAACCCCAAAAAAGGGAATCCTTCCCAAATCATTTTATGAGACCAAAATATCCTGACACCAAAACCCAGCAGAGACTTAACAAAAAAAGAAAACTTCTGGTCAATATCCATGATGAACATCAATGCAAAAATCTTAATAAAATACTGGCAAACTAACTGCAACAGCACATCAAAAAGCTTATCCATCACGATCAAGTAGGCTTTATCCCAGGATGCAAGGCTGGTTCATCATATGCAAGTCTATAAACGTA